AAGAACTGTAAACAGATTACATTTTGTTCTAAATTCAAGTACTCGTCGTTGTTCGTCGCTTTTCTTTTTGCTGCCTATCTCCGATTCCAGTTCTTCCTCCCCCAAATTCCCTTGTGCTAACAGTCTTCTAGACAACCAAACAATTTCATCTCGCATCCCATGGACCAGGCCAAGTGATCTCCAGCCAACCAGTCACGCCTTGTACGTTCATAAGCCAGTCCCAGGATAGTAGCGACGCGCCTTGAATACTGATACCAGATAGCAGCGACGCACAGGGCAACAGCATCACCACGCCACACGGGGCCAGGCCACTGATTGACCCTATTGTTGCTGTTACCAGCGGCACCAATCAATTGCGTGATTTTGTCTTCAGCTATGTATGCACAGTATATACCAGATAGTAGCTATTGTTGCTGGGCAGCTGGCGCCATCTACCGCCGCGACCCCCATTGATGGGCATATGGGCAGACGCCAATCCGCCGTTGCAGGTCCATCGGCATCCGGCAAAATGGCCCCGGTAGGCGGCGGTAGCCCTTCTCTTCGATCGGCTTGTCATCGTGCAGGTGCCAAAAGCGCCGAGCAAAATTGGACGGAGGTAGGCTAGTTGCTTCAGATCAGACAAGCGAGATTGGGAACACGTCATTTTCAGACAGAGCAGATCCATACTCCCATTTCGAGCTGGATCATTCAGTTCGAGGTCGGCATCGCCGAGATATTTTTATTTTTTAATTAATAATGATTCCAAAGTGAGATGCGCATCACACAAACTATGCATATATACTGTGCATGATGATTGTGCCGGGGTCAAAGTGATATAATAAGCTTCTGGAGGCTTTCAGGCCAATGAATGATAGCTTGAGGAAATGATCATCCGTGTCATTCTCTAGTAAAATTAGAGATAGGTATCTATCTGCCTCCAGCTTTTTTTTAATTGCCTCTCATCTGGATATAGCTGTAGCATCTGTTCGTACACACGCACACTACTCACACCACCCGTGTACAAACAAACCTATAACTACACCTAGATCTGAAAACCGCGTCCTTCTTGAGATCACCGAAATCCAATGATTTCGTAGGCGACGGGTAGGTAAGCTTGTACAAGCATCAGACTTCTCTATCGCCTCGTGCGTTCTCCCTTCTTCCTTCGGTAAAACCGCATTATTTTTTCCATTATTTGCGTTGTACGTAATAACTTCCAGACAGATAGCCTTTTTCTTCTTCTTTTGCTTGTACTGTTGAGGGGGGAAAAAAAGGGGGCATATCCTCCCATACATATTTCGAAAGATGCACTGTTGAGGAAAAAAGGGCATATCCCTCCCATCCATGGTCTCCGTATTATTGGCACATGACAGCGGTCCAGCGCATAGCTTAGCGTGCTAGAAGACTAAGTAGCTAGCTGCTAAGCCGACATGGCAGGTTTCATCAACCCATAAGAGTAAGAAATAGTAATTTAGCTTACTGCTAGCTGACTCATGTGCCATATCACATACAATAAATTAAATATACAAGTATTTTGCAAATGGAGTGGAGCTCAGGATCGCAAAGATAGATGGGAGAACAAAGCGGTGGATCCTCGATTGCATCCGGTTGGAAGAGGACTTTTTTTTTTCTCGTCCCTTGTGTTTGAGTCGACGAGAAGACAAGCCCCGGTTCAATGCTCTCTCCTAACATGGCCTTTTTCCTGATGACGTGGATCTCTTTTATCTGGCTCATCAAACACGGTACTATACTTGATCTAAGTGATCACAAGTCACAACATACCCAGCCGATCTGAACAAGATTATATGTCATGGCTTGCGTACCCCGAGTCCGGTTCAACATGCAAATGGGAAGCGATGGCCGACAAGCCATAGGCCACCAATGCAAGATCACCAAGCCACTCCCTTTGGCCTTGGGACCTGTCTTGATGTACTCCATATGTTTCATGGTTGTCTGATAGTTAATTAACGAGGTGTTAACTAGATAGATTTGTTGACATGTCATTATGTCATAATATTAATGAAGAAAGAGATTGAACTCGTAATCCTTTCCACTTGTTGGAATATAAGTGAATTGTCCACATCTCCCCATCAGCTTAAGCTTTTGGGTTGAACTGGTCGGTGCATGCAACTCAATATGATATTAGAGCCAGAGGTCTCGAGTTCGAATCCTGGTTAGCGCAATTAAATAAAATAATTGTTGCTCACTCTTATTCTACGTCTGAGGCCTGAGGGAGCCTCCACGTGAGGGGGGTGTTGGAATATAAGAGAATTGCCCACTTCTTCCTATCGACTTAAGCTTTTGGGTTGAACTGGTCGGTGCATGCAACTCAATACCACTCGCGCTAAGCTTTCCTTTGCAGTCTCATGGTAGTCTCTGGTGCTACTCCCCTTCCATATTATGCCTCCTTTCCATATGGACACAGAGCAGGTGAAAGTGCAATCAAGCCCTAATTATGGGTTTTGGTGATAATGACTACGCAATTAGAGAACTAATAAGATTTATCGAGATGACAAGCAGGAAATTAATGTTCGAGGATGCTACACGAAACAGAGGAGCCCCCAATTACAAATATAGATGGCTTCAAACTCAAAGGAGGCTTAAATTCTTTTATATTTTGAATTTGAGTATAGGAAAAGCCGTACTATAAAGGAGGACACAGTGCTTAAGCTAATATGTGCTACCAAGTGCTCAAACATACACATGCATCCTCAGATTCACAGCCAAGACAGTCTACACTTCACTCTTACCTTTGCTGTCATGCGTGGTGCGGCACTACCATATTTGAAGAGAGGCACTGCCGCAGTGCGGCACTGCCGCACTTGAGCCATGACACTGCCGTGACTTAAGTGACCATTGGGGGCTGGGGGGTATTTATACCTTTCCCCTTCATTCCCAACGGTACACTGCCTCTTCTTCCTCACTTCAGCACGCCCAAAACAGAGTAGGAGCCCTCTCTCTTTCTCTCTATTGTTGACCTCAAGTCCCCAAACCAATCCATTGATTTCCCCATCAATCCTTGAGGAAAAAGGGTCCAAAACTCGATTAGAGAGCAGCTCCATTGATTTCCCAACTCTAAAGAGCACTTGGTTCACGTTTTGGCCGACGATTGTGTTTGTTACTCTTGGAGCTTGGCTCCTAGCCGGCTAGAACGTCACCCGTGGAGCTTGCCAACTTGTGTGGCAGCCCCGGGAGGTTTGTAACCATCTCTTGAAGCTAGTAAACTCACCCCTCATCTCAAGAGTTAAGTCTCTTGACTTGAGAACGAGGAAGGGTTGGAAAGCCCTAAGCTTTAGTGGCTAACCTCAACAACGTGGAGGTAGGCAAGCCTTAGTGGCGAGCCGAACCACGGGATAAATCATTGTGTCACTTGTGCTTGATTTTCATTACTTGCATGACATATTATGGTTGAGGTGATTTCTATGGTTTCTAGTCGATCTAATTGTATGTGGTGCTCCTACTACTTCTAGCTCTTGATATGTTATTGTCATACCTACAGTAAGCTAGGAAATTTCTCCAATCTAAGTTTTCATTCATGGATTTTGAACTGTGACTCGAACTTGTCTGCAGGTGCGGCAGTGCGGCTGTTCTGGCCCGACAGTGCCGCCCTCCAAAGCGGCAGTGCCGCAGGGTGAATTTGATAAAAGTTTGAGTGTTTGTTTTGACAGGCCTATTCACCCTCTCTCTAGACCAACCAGAGATCCTATAGCAGGTGTGTGGCAAGTCGTCACTGATGGTAGTTGTGCAAGTCATCGACATAGTCCATGGAGACACATGCCACAATGGCGATGGCAGATGGAGAGAAGAAAGGAAGCGATGACAAGGTGACGACATCTTCACCAAAAAGCTAAGTCCAACACCAGAACGGTTGCCATTACCTTCGGTTTCATGGCCAGAGCCTCTTCTTTCTCTTGCTGCTATAGATGGTGGATTGGATGTGGTGTAAACATTGGCTCAAACCATTCGCCCCCAGAGAGACCACTCCCTAAATCCATAGTACGTTCCTTTGAGATATTTTGCATGAGTTTTCTATGATTTCTCCATGATATGCCACCATTTATTTCTTAGATGTAAATCAGTCATAGCAAATCTAATGATTTTCTCCTCTCACCGCTTTAAATTGCCAACTTCGGAGGGCCACAAATATTTTAAAAATGGTTTTTTTTTCTAGTTTCTTGTGTTTTCCTATGAAAATAAGTAAATTTTGTGTGAAATTTCTATATAATTTCTAAAATTTTGTGTTCCAGATGGTCAAATGGGCCCTAATGAATTGCTTAGCTGTGTAATCCTAAGGTCAACCTACCGCGGTTGAATCCGGTGTCGCGGATCCGCCGTGGCAGCCTCGGCCCCATCCATAGCGCCGCGTCGGTCCCCGCGTCGAGCACAGGGCCAACAGAATGCGTCAAGCCACCAAATGCGTCGGCCTAGACGGAAGCTTTGCCGTGCCGGATATGAACAGGACCAACCGGGCAACCCTGACCTACCACAGCACGAGCACAGGGCCACAGGCCACTGGCCTCACCCACCCGCTCGTCACCCAATCCGATCCGGTCCCATCGAGAACGTGCTCGCGCGTGCGCTGCCTAGGCTACGATACGAGCAGCAACAGATTTTAACCGCCACCGATGTCAGCTATGGCGCTGAGGCTGAGCTCCAGCTGCAGCAGGGCCGTCGCGTCCTCGTCATCTTCCAAATCCATCCCATCTTCTCTGCCGCGCCGTATATATACCCTCCCTTCCCGCCCGCTGCTCCTCGCATCCTCGCTGCGCGCCTCGCCTCCGTGTCCGCTCCCTCCTCCTCCCACCACCCCGGCTCGGTATTCGTTTCTGCCATCGCCGGTGTTCTTGTTATTGTTTCAGTCTACCGGTTGGCAACGGTGTTGATTTGGTCGTGTTTGTTGTGTTGGATCCGGGAGCAGGTGTTCGTTTACGACTCTCGCGGCGGCCAAGGGGGCGGCGGCGACGTCGAGCAGCGTCTCGCCGACACAGCAGCAGTCCCGGAGCACGAGAGAGGAAGGCGAGATGACGGTCGTCTCGTCCGTCAAGCTCGCCGGCGGCACGCTGTCGGTATGCGGGCGGACGGTGCTGTCCGGGGTGCCGGACGCAGTGGTGGCCTCGTCGGCGGCGGCGGGGGGAGCGGTCGACGGGGTCTTCATCGGCGCCGACTTCGCCAAGCCGGCCGCCAGGCACGTCGTCTCCCTCGGCGACCTGAGGTACGTACGATTCTTCATCAATCAGAGAATAAGAGCGGGAAAAGTGGTGATTTTTTTCCCGATCCGAGATCCGACCCAATTGTTCGTGTTGCCAACTGGCATTGATTTCTGGCTGGCGATTTGGCAGGGGCGTGCGGTTCATAGCGTGCTTCCGGTTCAAGCTCTGGTGGATGGCGCAGCGGATGGGAGAGAAAGGCGGCGACGTCCCGCGCGAGACCCAGTTCCTGCTCGTCGAGTCCAAGGGCGCCGCCGGCGACGAGGCCACGGCGGCGTACGTCGTGTTCCTGCCCCTCGTGGAGGGCGCGTTCCGTGCCAGCCTCCAGGGCGGCGCCGGCGACGCGCTGGAGCTCTGCGTCGAGAGCGGGGACGCCGACACGCGCGCGGCGTCCTTCGAGCGCGCGCTCTTCGTGGGCGCCGCGGAGTCCGACCCCTTTGCGGCCATCTCCGGCGCCGTCGCCGCCGCCAAGTCCGCGCTCAGGACGTTCCGGGTCCGCGCCGAGAAGAAGCTCCCGGGCATCGTCGACTACTTCGGCTGGTGCACCTGGGACGCCTTCTACCAGGACGTCACCCAGGAGGGCGTCGAGGCCGGGCTCCGCAGCCTCATCGCCGGCGGCGCGCCGCCCAAGTTCGTCATCATCGACGACGGCTGGCAGTCCGTCGGCACCGACAAGTCCGCCACCGACACCGATGAACCTGCCGGAGAGGACAAGCCGCCCCTCCTGTCTCGTCTCACCGGCATCAAGGAGAACAGCAAGTTCCAGAAAGTGGACGACCCGGCCGCCGGCATCAAGACGGTGGTGCGCGCGGCGAAGGAGGAGTACGGGCTCAAGTACGTCTACGTCTGGCACGCGATCACCGGCTACTGGGGCGGCGTCCGTCCCGGCGAGCCCGGGACGGAGCACTACAGCTCCAGCATGCAGTTCCCCAAGGTCTCGCCGGGCGTCATGGAGAACGAGCCCGGCATGAAGACCGACGTGCTCACCGTGCAGGGGCTCGGCCTCGTGCACCCGCGCGCCGTGTACCGCTTCTACGACGAGCTCCACGCGTACCTCGCCGCCGCCGGAGTCGACGGCGTCAAGGTGGACGTGCAGTGCATCCTGGAGACGCTCGGCGCCGGCCACGGCGGCCGCGTGCAGCTCACCAGGCAGTACCACCAGGCGCTCGACGCCTCCATCGCCAAGAACTTCCCGGAGAACGGCATCATCGCCTGCATGAGCCACAACACCGACGCCCTCTACTGGTACGCGATCCGATCTCTTCGCTCTCACAATTCTGACCATGAAAATCTGGGGACTTTTCATGGAACCATTGACCGATCTGATGCTGACGCTGATGCTGATGCGACCAACCGGCAGCTCCAAGCAGACGGCGGTGGTGAGGGCGTCAGATGATTTCTACCCGAGGGACCCCGTGTCGCAGACGATCCATATCGCCTCGGTGGCGTACAACAGCGTGTTCCTCGGCGAGTTCATGCTCCCGGACTGGGACATGTTCCACTCGCTCCACCAGGCCGGCGACTACCATGGCTCGGCCCGCGCGATCAGCGGAGGCCCCGTCTACGTCAGGTTGGTCAATTCATTCCAGCATTGGTTGTCGGTTCAGAATCCTCAGCATTGTTATGCCTATGTCTGGTTGAAAGCGATTGCTGAATTGTGTGTTCTTGGTGATGTTTTCAGTGATGCACCCGGGAAGCACAACTTCGAGCTGCTCAAGAAGATCGTCTTGCCCGACGGCTCCATTCTCCGCGCGCGTCTGCCAGGCCGGCCGACCAAGGATTGCCTGTTCACCGACCCGGCACGCGACGGCGTCAGGTGAGCCCCCGAACCCCTTTTGCTGAATTTTTGGTCTGTTCACTTTTGAGCAACTGTGTGTTCTGACAAGTGACAATGCCATGGCATGGCAATCCTTCCTTCCTGCAGCCTGCTCAAGATATGGAACATGAACAAGTTCACCGGCGTTCTCGGCGTGTACAACTGCCAGGGCGCGGCGTGGAGTTCCGTGGAGAAGAAGAACACCTTCCACCATACCGGGACCGAGGCCCTGACCTGCGGCGTCAAGGGCAGCGACGTCCACCTCATCTCCGAGGCTGCGACGGACCCCGAATGGAACGGCGACTGCGCCGTGTACCAACATGCCGATGGCGACCTCGTCGTCCTCCCGTGCGGAGCGGCGTTGCCCGTCTCTCTCAAGGTCCTGGAACATGACATCCTCACCGTGTCACCGATCAAGGTCAGTCAGTGCCCGTTTGGCAAGCGATGTGAATTAGTTAAGTTGGTGAACAAGTGACTGACGAAATTGTATGTACTTATGTTCCTGCAGGACTTGGCACCTGGTTTCAGGTTCGCCCCGATCGGGCTGGTCGACATGTTCAATAGCGGCGGGGCGGTGGAAGGCCTGACCTACCACCTCCTCGGCGGCGCAAAGCTGCTCGACGGCGGTAATGGTTCCGCTTCGGGCTCCGAGGCTGTCGGATTGGTGTGCATGGAGGTGAAGGGCTGTGGAAGGTTCGGTGCCTACTCTTCAGTTAGGCCAAGGAAGTGCATGCTGGGTTCAGCTCAGCTGGAGTTCTCCTATGATTCTTCCTCAGGGCTGATGGTTCTTCGGCTGGAGAAGATGCCCAAGGAGAGGGTTCACAAGATTGTTATCGAGTTGTAGGGTGGTATTGCCACCAGTGGTACAAAAATTTAGGTTCATTGGTAATCAGAGTCCCCTCTGATGAGTATGAAGTTCTACTGGCATATTAATCGTAGGGACTGGAGTGATTGTATGTTTGATAGGTAAATCTGATTCATGATTCAATTGAAAGGAATATGCGCATACTGTCCGGTTATTCTGCTTGTCTGAAGTCTGAACAACTGGCCTTCGGTGTTTTATTACAGTCTTACAGTACTTTCAATCGCTAGTTTCCAAACGTTTCAGTATGACTGCATGAAGCACATGACGCAGCAGAGTATCTTATCTACTGACAACTGCTCTAATTAGACAACCGTAATGAGATTTTGTGTATCATTGCATGCCAACGGACTCTGAACTCTGTGCAAAGCACGTGTTCAGGGGATAGCTGACAGAGCACCGTCATGTTGGCAACTTGGCATGCCTAGTTGACGATCCTCACAAATCACAATAGCACGAATCAAGTCGGTGGTAGCCTGACTTATATATATGTTGTATAGGAGTAGAACATACGTGCGCATGGCCCAACCAACCGAATTCATCAAGACACAGGAGATCTTGAGATAAATTTTCCCCCTATGCAAAGGGTCGCTGGTCTGCTGAATGCGTGCCTTGTGTCCCTCTGCTTGAGAGGAGCAGATCAGGAACTGCCTTTTTTTTGTTCGGTAATTCTTTGATCCGAAAGTCTGACCTTTACTCGAGTATCGGACTGAGGCGGGGTGTGGGACCATGTGACACAACTTTTTTTATTAATATCCAGTCAATTCATCATCACTTGTCCATCTCTCACTCCACCACCTGCCCCGCTCATCCTGCCGCTATTCCTGCCGATGCTCTGCACGCTCGCCACGCTCCTCCTGCCGCTGTTCTTGCCGATGCTCTGCGACCCGCCCTGCTCCTCCCGACGTGTTCCTACCGATGCTCCGCGCGCCCGCCCTGCTGATCGTGTCGTTGCTCCTGCTCCGCTACCTGCCCCACGCGACGACGCCATCGGCGTAAGGAGAAGCACTGGGCCTTGGCGCGGAAGCCATCTGGCTTCGCCTCCTGCTACGGCGTCCCGATGCAGATGGCGGAGAAGGCCGCACCAGGATATGATGCATGTCTCAAATGTACATTTGAAATGTTTCATATGCTTTAGAGATATGTTTCAATTGTTTTCACACGGATGTTGCAAAAGTTGATCGGAATATTGCCATGGTTATACACGTACGTTGCAAACGTATGTCCCAAATGTTTTATCTTTTTTTTTCAAACATATGTTGCAAGTATAATTATCTGAATGTTGCATATGTTTCACACATAATATTGCAAGTGTTTTATTTGGATGTTTGTGTACGTTTGCAATGGTTTTCAATTGTTTTTTCAAGTGTTTCATATGCGTGTTTCAACTCTTTCATCTGTCTTTTTTTGCATGTTGTAAGTGTTGCATCTAAATGTTTTAAAAGTAAATCGGATGTTGCACATGGGATGCGCGTGGGAAGCGGAAGGGGGCGCGAGCAGTCCCCGCGCAGGCCACGTTCGGGCGGCGTGGGCCCTAGCGTGGGTGTGGGTGACATAGGCGCGGTCGAGCGAAGTCCGAACGACGTGGGCCCACGCGTGGACGCGCAAAACAGAGGGGAAACCGGCTGCAGCCGTGGGCGTCTAGATGCGAGCGTCCGTCCAGATGTTCGGGCGCTAGCAGCGTTGTTTTTTCTTTTGAGAAGCATAGCTCTTTATTGATCAATTTGGGTTACAATGTTACAAACGCCTTCCGGCGGTGGAGCAGCCAAACTTTCTACCTAACTCAAAAAAGATGGAACTTCTAGCTAAAGACTGAGTATCCACATTACTAGCTCTGTTCTCATGAACAAGAACAAAAGACTCTGCCAAACAAGCCTTGGCGTCGATTTCTTGGATGATTTGGTCAAGGATCCAAAAGCCTTCTTCTTTAGAGCTTCTCACCACCCTACTGTTGTCGCAGACCAACCAAACCCTGTTCAACGTAAGGTTGGAAGCTAGTGCCAGCCCCTCCCTGCATGTAATTGCCTGCACTGTCTCTGGGTCCCTGATACCCTCGATCACCAAATTGAAGCGCCTTGAAAGACACCCGCTGCGCCTCTTGCAATAGCTGCGGCTACTTCTCTTCCTGTATTCTTGCTCTTGGAAATGGCAGCATCGACATTGATCTGGAAAACCCCTCCGGTGGAGCGATCCACCTTCGGGGCCTTGTGCTGAACCCCTCGTGTTGGATGCTGATCCGGCTTAATCAAGTTCAGGTCAGCGATATACCTCTCAATAAACCGATGTTGTGGACAGCGGACTCTGAAACAAATTTTCATGCAAAGATTTTCTTCGCACGTACCAGATAGCCCACGTAGTCACCGCAAGTCCGCAACCCTGATAGCCACCTCGTCCGGCAAGGTCTCCATTGCTTCTGCCCACCAAATGCGAGTGTCTGCCTCCTAAATGCCGTCCATAATTATTTTTTTGAGACCTATTGCTTCTGACATAGGTCCCTCCATTGCTCTGAAGGTATTTGATAGTTGAACACGGTTTTGAGACCTATTGCTAGTCGGAATAGACGATACACGAGACCCTAAAACTTTTTAGATGGATGGAGAAGCAGGGGCAAGAGCCCAGCTTCGCCTCTATGACGGTCGACACGGGAAGAGAAAGGGTGGCGACGGATGCGTGATAGATGGGGATAGAGAAAGATCGAGGGCATGATATATGTTACGTACAGCTGTTGTGAGATGATAGAAAGACAGGCCGGCGACAGATGTTGTTTCTCTAAATTCATACTACAGCTCGCGCATGATATATGTCATGTACAAAAACATTGACGGTGGTGTATAATATCACTCAATCCTACATGAGTATTGACCATCTCTTTCTATCTCTACTATAATGAATCAATCAAAATTATATTATGTCTTCCCAAAAAAATATCCCTCACTGAGAGCCTCCGACCATTGTACAACTAAAAAATACATACAATAAATCGTCTTCGTTAAAATAAGGACTAAAAAACTACTCACACGCAATCCAATGGCTGATGTTAGAAGTGTGATGCCAGGGTTCTCACCCCGCGCGCCCTCCACCCACGCACACGCCTTCAAACACTCCCACGCACACACCGTCGCTTTGCAGAAAGAAAAAGGGTACCAAAGAAAAAAAAACAAGCGACTTCCGCCGCCGCCTCTTGCTTCCCGACGCGGCTAGCGTCGCGGGGGTCGCGTGCGGTTATGGGGTGGGGGAGCGGTTTGGCTGCCCTTGACCCCCAAGAACCGTCGGCCGCGGCCCCAAGGTCCACCGCTGGCCACCGTTGCCAGGTGTGCCGCCCCCAGATCCGTCTCCCTCAAGTCTGCCGAATATCGCCACCCCCAAGTTCGACGTCGTCCGCCACCAACTCCGAGGCACGGGAGGCCTTTGAGCACGCCGCCGCAGCAAGCGCGAGGTTCGTGCGTGATCCAATCCATCCATCCATCCCTTCCTCCCCTACCAGCGTTCCGTTTTCTGAGCATGGGGCGGCGGCACCCTTACTCCTGATGCGTTCCTGCTGTCCACCTGCTGCTGCTAGGATAGGAGTAGGTGATCCTGAACACATACGCCCGCGGCGACGCGCGTCCTGTCCCCACTTCGACGTTCGGCGCAGCGGGTCGGTCGGCAGCAGGGCGATGAGGAAGTGGATCTCGAAGATCCTGCCGTAGCCCCCTTGCGCCGCCTACCGGAGTCGACGTCCACCCGCGCCTTCCCTAGGATGCGACCCGGGGGCCGCGGCGCTCCTGGATAGGGCCGCTTCCATCAAGGTTGGAGCCCCTCGTCTGGTGGGCTCTGCCAGCGCCGCCGACTGTACATCTCCAGGCTGCGGCATGGTGTTTCAGGTTCGAACTCAGTTCTACTCTTGCCCAGATGCTCAGTACCAATACCAAGCCCAATTATTAATATTTCCTTGATGAATGCAGTGTCAGCATGTTCCGGGTAATGCTTGAGTCAATGCAGTGTGGCTACGACAAGAGGAACTTGGTGCCCAAGATCCTTCTGCTAATGTAACAGAGGTTACCATTTTTTATTTTTAATTTTTAATTAGTGAACCATTTGTTCAGACTAACCTGAGAGAGAAGTACTTAATTTGCCATGCTTTGAGGAGTTCAGAGTAGCATTGCTTCATTTTACATAAGCCGTTCTTAGAATACCAGTGTTTTTTTAATGGTATTTGTGTAGACTAACCACATAAAAAATACTAAATTTGGCATTTGGGAGGATTAGCGTTCATACTCAAATGGGAACCTGAAAAGGTGAGATGATATTTTCAGGATGTAATTGTTTCTGATCAGTACCTTTGTCCTAAACCACTATAGATTTATGTTTGGTTTCCTTTTTTAGTTTCTGAGTTTGTGTTAGAGTGTTGGTTGATGAGTACTGCTGGGCAAAAATAGTGCATAATAGATTCATAGTACCATTGACAAATTATAGGACGTGGCACTATTCTTAATTTTGGGTTTGAAACAGATCGTGTTTCGATGACTTGTTGGATGCAACCATCAGAAGTTGGCTGGATTCATTCCAACTTTTGCATGAACTAATTAAATACATTCCTACTTAGAGTTTCCTTTCCCAATCCCCATGCTGTAATTATCCTTCTGGTTTTCAGCTCATGAATGGTGTTGAAATTTAGTTGGCATAAAATTGAATCCAGAGATCCTGTATAATTGTTCTTTTGGTTTTACTTGGGCTGTTAGCTTTACGTGGGAGTAGAGTTTGCTATGATTCCTAACTCTGTGATAAAACATGAAAGATTTATTCTATCACATATTTAGCCCCATGCTTACTTTAATCCACATTTAGTCACACCTTAATATGGGCATACAGGAAGCTAATAGCCTGCTGGTGCCAATGCTATTTTATTTTATTTTTTATGTGTGCGCTGCCAAAGCCAAAACAGGCTGCGTGGAGCCAAAATGAGCACAACAGAGTGTGCCTCCTAATAGGTGGAGATTACA